TAGCTGCATGGTATTTACCTGGTACTTAGATATATATTTCAATCTTCATCAGCAATAATATACAGAGTAATATATATAGAGTAACCAAATGCAACTCAACCCAGACCAAAGACGGCAGAAGTGATGCCTAGCTCTAAAGATACAGAAAATATCTTAAAGGACCACTTTCTGCTTTAGGAACTCATTCAGAATGCTTCCAAAAGGCAGGCTTCAAGCATTCGACTACCACATCACAAGCCAATGAAGGCACACCTTTAGCTAAAACACAGCTGAGCTGAATGATTTCTGCTAAGAGACCCCAAACTTTCTGACAGAGCTCAGACTGTTAGAAATAAGTTAGAGCAAATTCCACTGTGATTAATAAATGGCAGTGCGTTTTCTGTTCTGTTGTTGACACTCTGTTTGATAGGATGGGTCTATAAGACTCTAGGTCTGTAAGACTCTATTTCTGTGCCAAGTCCTGAGAAAATGTACAGCATTAGGGCAGTGGGATTAACCAGTTTTGCTCTTCATTTCAGAACTGGTACTGAAGAACCAGGTAGAGAATATAGTAAGAAGACACAATTTTAAAAGCCCTTGATAACAACTGATCTAATAATTTCAAGGACTCTTAAGATGTGGGCTTTTTTTCAGAAAGCAGGACACACTGTCGCCAAAGAAAAACAAACGGGAGGGAATATCCTTGTGGCCACCTGGTGAGTCTTTACGCATAAGTCCTGAAGTACAAGTGCTATATCAAGAAGACGAAGAAAAAACAATGTTAAGAAGGCCACTTAACCCTTTTCTTAATTAACTCAATCCAGAGGAAAGGGGACTTAGAATATTAAATGCCACCGGTATTGAACTATCCTTTCCCTCCAGTCCCTCATCTCAGATTGGAGCTGCCCTTCCATGATGTAGCTTGGTTCTCACATTCTGTGTCTTCAAAGGTAGGCCCTGGGAGAGAGTCAGGAAACTAGAGTGGTCCACTACTTAGGTCAGGATGCTGACAGCCTGGGAGTTTCTGTCCTTATACTGACTTAGACTTTGAGTTTTACTGAGGCAGGCTATGTGCGTATGTGAATACACAACCACTCATCAATCAAATGAATGATACAACAGAAGGTTCTAATAGCGATCAAATTAAGGTTAGAGGGCAGAGC